CCCCAAAACCCCAAAACCCCAAAACCCCATCAAGATAAATTTATTGTAAAATCGATGGAAAAATGATCTCGTTGAGTTTGTTTTATTAAATATTTATTATAATTACAATGGCAGGCGGGAAAATAAAGACACCCTTATCTGAGAAAAAGCAATAAAATTAAAAAATGCCAATGAGCAAGACTAAAAAAATAACTAAGAAAGAGCCGACTAAGAGCAAGAAGGCTGATGTGATAGAAATACAAGAAAATATTGAAGTCAAAAAGAACATAAAAGTAGTTCCAGAGAAAAAGAAAGCAAAAGTAAGAGTGGTAAATGCAAACAGGGGCAGTCCTAAAATGCTAAAAAATGTTGCAACTTAAAAGTAAAACAAAAAAGTAAAAATATATGAGCAATAACAGTCTGGTGAAACATCAATTGAAAAAGGTTTTACCGGTGGACCTTAGAATTGGTTCAAAGGTAATTAAACATATATCATCGTAATAATGCTTTATAGACAAGGAATTCTTTTAGAAATTATGTGCAGACTTGAAGAATCACAATCATGATTATTACTTTGGGAGCTATTCTAACTTTTATATTCATGAAGAGATGCTAAAGGACACAGTAAGAACAAATGCTTATAAAAAGGCATTTGAACTGAATGCGGAATATTTCAAAGATAAAATAGTCATGGATATTGGAACAGGCACTGGTATTCTTAGTATATTTGCAGCTAAAGCTGGTGCCAAGCATGTCCATGCTGTTGAGAATGCTGAAATTGCAAATTTTGCTAAGGAAATAATAAGGAAAAATGGTTTTGAAAATGTTATTACTGTTCACAAAGGTAAAATGGAGGAAGTCGAAATTCCAGACGAAGTGGATATTATAATTTCTGAGTGGATGGGCTATTTTTTACTTTATGAGGGAATGTTAGATGTTGTGTTAATGGCAAGAAAGAAATTTCTTAAATAAGGTGGGTTGCTATTTCCTAACAGAGGTATTATTTATGTTGCAGCAATTGAGGATGTTAAATTCAGAAAATCTAAAGTTGATTTTTGGAACGATGTTTATGGGATTGACATGTCTTGTATGTCATCAACAGTCTTAAGTGAACCAATTATCGATGGATTAGATTCCAGGTAGATAATTTCAAGCAATTCCTTGCTTGTTGACTTTGATTTTGATAAAATGAATAAAAAGGATGTTAACTTCTCAAGAGCATATTCATTGACATTTTAAAAAACAGAAAAATGCAGTGGCATTGTCGCTTGGTTTGATACTCTGTTTTCTAAAATGAAACATACTGTTATATTGTCTACCTCACCATATAGTAAACTTACTCATTGGAAATAAACTACATTTTACACTGATAGAACTCTTGAAGCTTTCAAAGGAGATACGCTTTATGGTTCTATTGCAGTTAAACAAAGTAAAGGTAATTTTAGAGAGCTAGATGTAAAGATCAGTTATCATTTCAGGTCGAAGCACAATTCTAAAAACAATGAAGATTTCGAGTAACTTTATAAGGTAAGATGAAGGCGTTATTTAAATAGAGAACATGCTAATTAAGAACTCAATATAAGAAATATCAATAAATCAGAAAGTTATTTAGTGGAGACTATTTTTTTCATTAACTAGATTTATTTTCATTAATCTTTCATATTGCACTATAAATTAAGCTTATGGGGTTTTGGGGTTTTGGGG